CCCCCGCCCGTCTCGCCGAGTCTGGGGACCGCATGGCGCGGGCGGGCTCGTGCACTGCCGGCTCGGGACTACTTCTTGTTCAAAAGTTTTCAGAGACCAAAAGTTTGAGCCAGGGGATGCGGAGGGATCCGGCTCTGGTCTCAGCGTTCCGCGACTTTTGGGGACAATTTGCATCTCAATAGCGGTGGAGGCGCGGGCGAAATGGGAAAGGGAAACCTTGTCGTGGAGCTTGGGCCCGGGTCCGGGGGAGGAATAGTCGAGGCCGAGTTTGGGCCACCTCGGGGCGAGGACCCCGGGGTAGCCGCGCCCCGGGCAGAGATGGTGCGTTCTTGGCCCAGCGGCTCCGCTCCCCGGAGCCCAGTGGCCAAGACTTTAAACCCCGGGAGAAGCGAGGCCAGGCACCTTGAGCCGTGACTTCTGGGGCTCCAGCCCCAGAGAGACTGCGGCTCCGAGTCCGCGGCCTGGAGACGCTCCTGGCGTCCCAAGGGACAGCTCGCCAGACACATCGCATGCTCCCCCAGAGGGACGGTGTGGTCACTGTCCTCTCCCTGTCCCTGGTGGCCTAAGGTGGCACCGGAAAAGGCGCACGGGCTACACAGACCTGCCAGCACAGCCTCTCCCACGTGGACTTTCTTTATTTCCCACTGAGATGCCAGGCTTGGGCATCCTGTGCCAAATCCGGTTAACCCCTGGGTGCCCAAAATGACGACCCTGACTCTTGCAACAACCAGACCTCAGGGATCCCAGACTGTGCCCCTCCCATCCAGCACGGGGTGGTGAGTGGGACTAGGTGCCCACAGGAGCCTGGTGTCCTGGGATGTCCTGCAACAGGGAGGGTGAGGGTGGAGGACCAGGAGCCGCAGAGGCTCCGGGCACTGGGCAGAACAGAAGGACTGCAGCCCTTGCCCAGGGAGGCCAGAGAGGTGGGCAGCTTTCTCGTCTCTTGGCACACGGGTTCCTGGAGCATGCACACAGGGTCTAGGCCCTGGCAGCTGTTGCTTCTGTTCCTCCCAGCCTGGGGTAGCAGCTCCAGGTCAGTGCTCCACAGAGGAGGCGCCCAGGCAGCAGATGTTTATGTAACACAGCGGCAGCCTGAGTAGCAGTTTCCATAGAAGGAAGGGCTACAGCCTCGCAGTTCACGGGCTCCCACTCTGCTTGTCCCTTCAGGTCCTGGGACAGGGACCCAAGACCTGGGCTGCCACTGCTTGTGCTGGACCCCTGCTTAGGCCAGGGGGCCCCAGGCTGAGGTTCTTGTCCTGCAGCCTGGATTGGGAGCCAAGCCTCAGCCTTCTGGAGCAGAGGGAAGGAGTGAGCCCCCAGCCAGGAGCCCTACCCTACCCTGTGCCCCAGAGGTGCCTGCCACACCTCTGCTGTGTCTTCCACTTTGCCAGCAGGCAAGAGTGTGTTGGTAGGTCAGAGGGAAGCCCAGGTGTCAGTCTCCAGCCCCTGCGTGACTTGCCTCTGGGGCATCCAGGGGACAACTGGGGCACCCTAGGGACTGTTGGGGAGAGGCCAAGGGCAGGGCAGGACAGTGTAGCCATGTGGCCTGGGAAGGGGTGGGCCCGGCAAGAGGGTGTAAGCTTTTCATTCACAAATTAGGCCTGGGATTTCTGCAACCAATCTTCACTCCCAGTCCAGGGGCCAGTCCTGATGACCTGGTCTGGAGACCTTCTCGGGGTCAGGTGGTCTGAGGTGGCGGGCACTGGGAAGCTGGGGAGAAACAAGGGAAGCACACTCCCCTCCTCCAGCTCCAGAAACCCAGTGGGAAGAGGGCCAGTACCTCAAGAAGCTGAACAGTGGTAGATACAGCAAGGCCTCTGCAGTGGGAGATCACTTCCGCCAGGATGCGGTACCCAGGGCACACCCCTGGCAGGACAGAATGCAGTGTCCACTTCCAGGCTGGCTGCACCCTGGCACTGCCAGGGAAGAGACCTGTACCTAAGCAAAAAGGTTTCCTGTCCCAGAGGCTGGGCTCCTTCTAGAGACAGGTGACAGCACACAGGCAGGGACTGCCCCTGTGCACTGGCTGTGGGCTCAGGAGACTTAGCCTGGGGCACAGAGGCCTGTGGGGTGTCCTGACCTGGCCTGCAGACTGCCAAAGGGCCCCCATTCTGAGCATGATTTCCTTTTTCTTTTTTCTTTGTTTACAAGCCAGGATCTTGCTGTGTAGTTCAGGCTGATCTCGAACTTGCCATGATCCTCCTGCCTCAGCCTCCCTAATGCTGGAATTATACAAGTGTGCACACTGTGCCAAGCGTTGAAACTGATTATGAAAGGTATCGGAGATGCTTGTGGCACTTGAGCAGGAGGACAGAACAGTGTCCAGCACACAGTGCCCCCCCACACCCACCACAGTCAAGCTGCAGCCCAGGCTTGTGTGAGGCATTGGCCTCTGAGTCAGGGCCACCCACCAGCTGGCCCACCGTGGGCTTTGGTTTCCCCCTCTGCCAAGTGATGTCTGAAGTCCTGCACAACAAGCCTGCGCATTTTCTGGAGGCCTGAGTGGCTTCCAGTAGTGGCTTCTGTGGCCTGTGACATTGTTCAGAGGGGCAGGCTGGAGCTAGATGCCCAGGCTGCTCCCAGGGCTGGGGCTGCATCCCAGTCTGCCCACCTGCAGGGCCCTCCCAGGCCACCCCGGTGTCCTTTTGAACCCTGGCCATGCCACCTTTTGGAGCTACACATAATCACCTGGGCAGGACTGGCAGAACTGGAGGGACACGGTCACAGGGCCACCCAGAGAGCTCAGAGGGCTCCCCAGAACCATCACCTGGCCTCCTGAGGACCTAACGGACCTGTGCCCCACACGTGACCAGGACTCTGTCCAGGGACCTGTCTGCACGCCACCCCAGCCATCCCCGCTCAGGCCTCCCTGAGGCAGCGGCCCAGGCGTGTGTTGCCCGGGCAAATCCCCACGCAGATACCAGCTGCAAAGCAGGGGAGCTGCTGAGACCCAGCAGGGGTGACCCTGGCTGGTGTGGCCCCGGCTGGTGTGGTTCTGTGTGGTCCTGGCCACAGAACAGGCCTTCCTGGTGGCCTGGTGCTGTCCTCTGAGGGTTGGTGTCCACAGGCCGGACAATCATGCCAGCCAGGACCGGGAGCCACCTACATGTTCCTGGATGCTCAGCGCACAGCTCCCAGTGTGGGCAAAGGAGTGACAGCAGGTGACCCTGGCACTGAGGAGGAGGCCCGAGCTGCCTAGAAGCCTGGGCTGGGCTGGCCTGGGGAGGCTCCTCAGGTCCCTGGCCCACTTCTGGGACTGCCTAAGGGCCTGGGAAGGTTAAGGCAGTGCTCAGTGGTGCTCCCAGCTGGGGTCCCCTGAGAAGCTGCCAGGCTGGCCCAGACCAGGGGCTTTGGGAGGAGGAGCACGGGCAAGTGGGGACGGGAGCTGGGGCCCTGAGAGCAGAAGCTGACATCTTCAGACAGGGGCATGCCGGCAGGGAGCTGTCACGGTGGCCATCGGAGGGGACAGGATAGAGCACAGTGGGAGCCCCACCAGCCACCAACCTGGGGTCCGCCCCACCTCCATCCTCAGACCCCACGCTCACAGCAGCTGGGACCTTAGACCTCTGAGTCGTGGGGGAGGGGAGCTTCCGCCGCC